GAGGACCTCTTTATGGAGAAGATGGTGGTCCCGAGACCAAAGACCAAGTGTCTGGGTGAGGTTGAAGATGGTCACTATGGTCACGCGGTTCAGGGCGAGCACAATGATGCAGCCCACAATGCTAATGGCAAAGCTGCCTAACGAGCCACTAAGCCAGTGCCCAACTGAAGGAAATCCCCTCAGCAGCTAGCAGTACTATCCAGCGAGCTGATGCTGCAGACTGCCATGGCCACCATAGGCAGTACCCAAAGCTGTGGTAGGGAGAAGTGGTGACCCTAGAGCGTCATGGATATATGGTTAGGATCCTGGAGAGCCATTCAGAGCCACACCGGGAAAGCTGAGCAGGAAGCCATGGCTCAGGTCAGGAGGACAGTCACAGCTTGATGCTCAAGAGGCACTGTTTTCTTCTTCCCTTTAGCCAGGAACCCCACCCCAAGAAAGTCCCGCCCCCTCCAGCAGAGGGCCTTCCAGACACCTGACCCCAGCACATACTCCGCTGTGAAGACAGACCAGAGATTGGGCACTCCTCAAGCTCGCTGCACAAGGTGGCCCGCATTTAACAAACCTGGTGAGCAAAGGCTGGGGACATATGATACGGTAATAAGGCAGTATCTGAGTACCCCTTCCCCGGACACTCCCAATTTCAGGACAGGGGACATGAGCTGTGAATTAAACAGTTTGGACAGATGTTCTATCCAGCAAATACCAAGATAATTAAAGCCTTCGTTGGTGGGGGCCTGGCAAGAATGCTCTGCCTTTTCTGGGCATTGAAGCCTTGGCTAAGCAAAAGCCAGGTTCGAGGCCCAGGAGCCCCTGGCTCGGTTACTGCAAAATCTCAAGTTTATGCATAAGCTACTGCCAGGGCTCTGTGGCTGAATGACAGAGCCTCGGGCTCTACTCCACCCCTCCCCGGGAGGGAGGTAACAATTGGAGATTTGTTTTGGGCTAGGCCAGCCTGGACACAACCTCCCTGAGCGTTGAGTCCGCCAGGAGCTTTTCTGGCCTCCGCCATCCTGGGACAGTGGTTGCTAGACTGAATGGCTTTGTCACCTCTGTACCCAGGATAGAGGTGAGGGGTGAGGCTGCAGGGCCCCAAGCCAATGCTGCACACTTTCCCCTTTGTTCCAGGCCTCCTAGCTCTGCCAGTCAGCTGGGGGTGGGGGTGGGCTTGATGTTTGTACCCTTGGTGCTGGAGCAGATCTCTGGGCCCTGATACCCTGTAGGAGGCACAGGGTAAAGCTGTGCTCTCTGAAGGCACAAGCTGATTAGCGGGGGATTTGGGACTGACCCAGTGAGGGGCAAGGAAAGGTGGAACCCGAGGGTGGCTCAACCCTGGATGAGGATGGTCTTGAGGCTGTTTACATCGTTTGTATATCTAAGCTGGCCAAGGGAAAAAAAAAAAGATTTTTCCACTGCTAACAGCTACCTCCCTGGTTGAGGACATGGGACACAGTCTTATCCACAATTACCAGAGAAGAAACCGAGGTTCCAGGAAAGCTACTTCCTTCACAGGTGTCCACCTATATCTAAGGCAAGCTTTACACTCCTACAGTGCCCAGAAATGGCTGTGAAGTCCTGAAGCCCGAGGACTTCTGCCCACTTGGGACTGGTGGGAGATGGGATAAGAGAGGGGATTTCATTGGCCCCGTTGAACACCTCGAATCTTGACAGCTTTGTCTTGGACTTTACTAGCCTCAGTTTCCCCTCTGTAAAAGGAACTGTAAAAGCTAAGGCTGGGCTGTGGTGGCGCATGCCTTTAATCCCAGCACTCGGGAGGCTGAGGCAGGCAGATGTCTGTGAGTTCGAGACCAGCCTGATCTACAGAGCTAGTTCCAGAACAGGCTCCAAAGCTAGAGAAACCCTGTCTCGAATAACAAACAAAAAAGGGAAGGCTAAACCATGTCTGGGTCTCTTCTTAATCTTCATGCTACCTGCAAAGGTTAGAAAAGCATGTTTTTTGGGGGGTGGGGGATGGTGGGGAGACTCAGCACATAACCTTGACGAAGTCACTTTTCTCTGAACTTTAAGGTCATCGTGGACTCCCATTCCCCAACAGTGCAGCAGTGAGGATCTCAAGAGAAAGTGTTTAAAGTAGTTTGTCTATTCCCTTCACATCACAGGGATGGAACCCAGGGCTACCCCTGAGCTGCGCATGCCCCCAGCACTGGGAGGTGCTTTCCTAATGATCCAAATACTCAGCAGAAAGCTGAAACAGAAGCCCGGGGCAGGGCAGGCAGCCACACTAGATGGCTCAGCTCTGGGCCTGACACCCTGAGCACCACTCACCCTCCCATCCCCCACCCCAGTGGGTGCTATCTCCACACACCAGATTCCAGACCAATGAGAGCTTTAATGAGGCCCCTGAGTAACAACATCCTCGTCCCCCAAAAGCACAGGCAGGTAGGATGCATGCTTCAGCTGATACTGAAGGTTACTCAAGGTTACCCAGGGCCCAGCATGCCATGGGAATTCAAGAAAGCAAGGATGACTTATGAAACAACTATCGGGACTGGCACACATAATTTGGGTTTGTTCTCCCCAAATTCTACTTATTCATTTGTTTATTTATTCAGGGGCAGGGCCTTAGCTACTAGCTGAAAGTCAACATATACACAAGGCCAGTATCAAGCTCAGAGATCCGCTCGCAAGCCTGCCTGGCTTGTTTTTTTTTTTTTTAAACTTTTAAGTTACATCTACTTACTCATTTGTGTAGGGCGGAGAGAACAACTTGCAGGAATCAGTTCTCTGCTTCTACCATGTGAGTCCCAGGGATGAACTAAGATCCTCAAGCCTGACAGTAAAGTGCCTTTAGCGGGTCAGCCATCTCTCTAGGCTCCCCCACTGCTCAATTCTAGCCCTCTAGTGATTAAAACTGCCCCCACTCTGCAGCTCAGGCAACTAAGCTCAATGAGGATTCAAAACCTCATCAAGAGTCTCAATTCCGTTCTTCTACCACTGGATCCTGAAGATCTCCCCCCCTCCTTTTTTAAGTCCTCTGTTGGGTGAAGAGACTTACCAGTAGCAAAAAGGGCATCAGGGACTAGCCTATGGGCTAGCCTAGCCAGGATGGCCACAAAAAGGGAAATACAGAGGAGGCGAACCCCTGTTGGCCAAGGAGAGCTTGCCCCTCCCTGCTTCCCACTCAGGGGAGTTCATAACTAGAGGAGTGCATCAGAGAAATGCCGGACATTGAAACAGCTCGCCAGGATTCCGTTTTAATGTATAGCACAAAAGGCTATAGCCCTGACTGAGAAATCAGCGGTCTCCAAAGGACTTTTTCCCCAGAATGTACACAAGATAATTAAAACAAACCTAAACTGGGCATGGTAATGCATGCCTTTAATCCCAGCACCGGCAGGCAGAGGCAGGTGAATTTCTGGATTCAAGGACAGTCTGGTCCACTGGTCTACATAGTGAGTTCCAGGACCCTCTCTCAAAAAAACCAAAGTATTACAGCTGCTCTTTTGTGCTTCCAGCGTCGTTTTATTTAAGCACAAAATCTATTGGTATAAACAGTTCAAGTACATGAATTCATCAGTCCAGATATAAACCACGGGAAGGAGGTATTCCACGGTTTACCGGTGGAACCAGTGGAAGCATTGCTCCAGACACCACAAGGGCTGCCCGAGAAGTTAAGCAAACTCTAAGACACTAGTGAAAAGAGCTCAGACCTTAGGATCTGTGCGACTTTAGGAAACTTACTTCCGTCTGTGTGTTCCTGGGGAGGAAGCACAGAACGACGTGGAAAAAGCAGACAATTTTCGCCTTCACTCTTCTGCACTCAGAATATTCACCTTATCCACTCAAGAAATAAGTATTTGGCCGAGTGTGGTGGTGCCTGGGAGGCAGAAGCAGGCGGATCTGAGTTCGACGCCAGCCTGGTCTATATAGAGTTCTAGAGCAGCCAGGGCTGCATAGTAAGACTCTTGTCTCCAAAACAAAATAGAAATAAAATCCAAGGAAAAAAGGCGGACAGATCGGCCCGGGTCTGGCAATATAGTAAGACTGTATCCTTTTGAAGAAGCGGGAGAGAAAAGTTCTATGTGGAGAAACCGAAGATAGCAGTTTAATGGCCTCTGAAAGACTCTGGGCCTCAATCTTCCGTTTTTTTTGTATTTTTACTAAGTTACACCGTATCATCGTGGCTCTACAGTCAGTAGGACCACCGGGAGCTAACTAGAGCTCAAGTACCGCTCAGCTCAAGTCCGTGGGCTAAGGAACAAATCACAGGAGCTCAACAGGCATGGGGAAGCCTGGGCTCACACTACCGGGTCCCATCACACACCTTCACTGCCTACAGTAAGGGCAGCCCGGGATTTAGCCCACGTCCGCGCGGTTCTTAGCTTTAAAAAGGGAATGGGGTGGGGGGGGGGGGGAGGGAGGCTTGAAGGTGCGCATCCTTTTGCCTCCCTATACTAAGATGGGAAAATCCAAATGTTTAAAAATTTTAAAAAGCGACTAGAACAAACTCTACACAAAGCAAAGGCGCGACAGGAAAGAAACAACGTCGCACACCCAGGAGGGGTACAGTAAATCGGCCCCCTGCGGGGCGAGCCAGTTCACAGGTGCTGAGAGATCCTATTTAGACAGCGGCTAGCCTGGGGAAAAGGCCCCACATCCCCGGAGGACTGCGCAGCGTGCAGTCCCCCGACTCAGGCCTGAAGGAAGTGCCTTCTCCTCCTGGCCACCCCCAAGGCCCGGGTTCCGGGCGCGGCGCGGGCTCCGGGAGGGTCCCGCCTCCTCCGCGCCCTCCCGGGGCCCGGCCGGGGGCTCGGCCCTCTTAGCCAATGGGCGCCGCGTTCCGGCCCCCTCCCCCGCGCGGGAGGAGCCGCCGAGGTCGTGTGCGACGTGCGGTTCCTGAGCCCCTGATCCGCGGCCCCCGCCCCGACCGCGTGAAGCCCGGGACGGCCGCGTGAAGCGCGCGGGGCCTCGGACGGGCTCCCGGCCCCGGCGCTAGGCAGCACATCTCCGCCCGGGGCGCACAGCCCCGTTATCCTCACCTTGCTGCTGGGCTCCATGGCCGCGCTGCGATCGTGGCTCTAGCTGTGCCGGCTGCGAGACGGGAAACGGGCGTGCTCTGACTCTGCGTCTCCCGCCGGATCTCCACGCCTTGGCGCACTTGGGACCACTTGGTTTAGACCAGGACTCCACGAGTTCCTAGCACTCAGTTCCTAGTGCTCCACTCAGTTCCTAGCAGAAGCGCGGAGCAAGTCTTTTTATAGGACCGTCGCCATTGGCCTGCGCTGCGGGGGAGGGGCCCGGAGTGGGTGGAGCCTGAGCAGCACGTCCGGGGCGGAGCTCCTAGGGGCGTGGTTCTTTCGGGAGGGGCGAAGGGCTCCTGACCGCAGCCCGGGCTTTGGATGCTCAATTCCCCGGTCCCGGGAGCGCGGGGCACCTGTTGGGGGCGCTCGCTGTGTGTCTCTGGGCTGGTGCGCGCACCTCTCTGAGTCTCAGCGGCCGCTAGCAAAATGGTAGCGCTTAGTACCGGGATGTAATGCCCCACCGGGACTCCGGCTTCCTCACTCGACTGCCGGATAACTTTGGTAAACTGGGGATAATAATAGTACAACCTTTTGGGTTCTTAGGAAGATTAAGCGAGTTAATATTTGGAGCGTGTTTACATCGCGTCTGTTGCGTGTAAATTGGTATTAAATTTATTACAGAGACCACGGGAGGTCTGACTCCCGAAGCAGGGTTTTTCCCACTCCGTCCTCTGTATTTCTCTGTTCCAAAGCCCAAGCTCCTCTTTTGCTCCTAGAAACCATGCTCACTGCTTCTCTAGGCTATAAAAACCACCACCTCCCTCTATATCTGACTCTGTATGACACCTAAGTGTTAAGACCTGAGAAGCTGGGTGCCTAAATGGCTAAGGACACAGAAGACCTTTATCATTGTACCAGCTCACCTACAAACCGGCTCTAACTGATCCTGGGCAAGCTCTAGGCCAGTAAGCCAGTTATCTTTTGGATAAAATGGAATTCGTATCAAACCCTGTGCTATCAGCATTACAGGTGAGCTCCTGAGGACGGCAGCCACAGCCTCTACAGTGGGGGCACTCTGCTCATCGGATTTACTCTCTTTTCTTTTCTAGAGGCGATGGAGGGACCTCCAGTTCGAGCTTCTCATCTAGGTCCGGCTGAGGGAGGGATCTGGGAGAAGTTAGTTTCTGTTAGAGACAGAAAGCTGAGCTGTGTGCCAGTTGCTGGCCTAGGGGGCACCCTGCTTGGGCATGGCTCTCTGAAAGGAAAAGCACCTCCTCTCACTTTGCACACCACCTCACCCTCTTTCTTCCCCTGCTGTCTCCAAGACCTGTTCTGCTCACTTCCTCTGACCCTGAACCCTGTTCCTTTCTTTCCCTCGGTACATCCGATGTCACGATGTCACGGCCGGAGCAAGGCCCGAGCCTGCTCATCCAGGCCCTTCCTTAGGGCACCAGTTCAGGAACTCCACCTCCTCATCGTTAAGAGCACATGTCTGTCTCTCAGCCAACAAGTCACACTCACCAGTCACTTTCTTCTCTGCCATGGTCCTATGCTAGTCAGTTTTCCAGGGACAGAGGCAGGAGAGCCTACTTCTTCAGGAAGTCCCCAAGCTAGAGGGACAGTGGGGGTGGGGGTATAAAACACCGCCAAGGGAGAATATAGGGCAAGTCTCCAGAAAGAACAGGGGGTGGGAGGAGGCAGGACATAGCCTTTTGGGAAGGGGAGGTGATGCAGAGCAGGGTTTGGAAGGTAGAACAGGAACTCAATGGGTGGCCAGATGGGAAAACCATTCTTGACAGAGGGAAGAGGAGGTACAAAGGCAGCAGACAGACTGATTTCAGAAAGAAAGAGTATCTCTAGACAGTACCCTGAACCACAAGTTTCAGACTTCGGAGTCCCAGTCTACAACTTGCTTGCCAAACATCTGAGCACTCTCTCCTCAGCTTCAAAACCCACATCTCTAAAATGGGTCTAACAGTCTCCTCCTGGGGTGGATAAGGGTCTGTCAAAGAAATTGCACAAATTCTTTTTTTTTTTTTTTTGAGACAGCTGTCCTGGAATTCTTCAGATTCACAGAGATTCACGTGCTTACCAAGTACTGGGATTAAAGGCTTGAACTACCAGAACCCTGATCAAACTGCACTGACTCCTGGTGTCAGCATTTCCAGTCCAGTCCCATGTTCCCATGGCACTCAAGGAAGAGTAGCCAGGAAAACAACTTTACTTTTCCCCCATCTCACCATACCTGCCCAGACACAGATCCCATTGTCTGCTTGGAATTCCACCTCTGTCCTCCTCTGTAAATGTTTTATGGCCCCTGGAGGCTACTGTTTAGAGGCAAATTAGAGCTATGGACACTGGATCAGAGGTTAGATTCTTAGGTGGACTATTATCTTGGAGACTCAGTCCTTGGAAACAGAATTTAACCCTGTCTAGGGAGAGAACACCAGAAAAAAAAACCCAAGAGATGTGTAAAACCTTAGCAGAAAGACGTACCACAGAGGGAAGGATGTGGACAGAAGCTAGGAGAAGTGGCTCTTTGTAGTGTGATTGGCTTTTAGGAATTGGGGGTGGGGAGGCGGGGGAACAGGGAGAAGAGGTAATTGCAAAGACCCCTGGATGCCTTCTGGTAGAGGCCAGAGCTTTATTTATTGGGTGGGTAGTGGGGAGCCACAGAGAGTTTCAGAAAGACCCAATGACATCTGGATCTCCAAACTCTCCCCTACCTGAGGCTCCTAAAGGGCATGTGGGACGGAGGTGGGGTCCCACAGCGCCCCTCCCCCCAACCTGGTGAGACTCCCTAGTCGCTTCCTACACTGGCAGCTTTGTTCCCTGGAGGGTGACTTCAGCCCTTAAAGGAACGCAGTCTTTTCTGGGTTGCTTCCAAGCTGCTCCAGCCCCAGCCAGTCTGGAAAGAAAAAAGAGGTCCCGGGATTGGCGGGAAGGTACCAGGTGCCTAGAATGATGCGGGCAGCTGCCGACCATCTGATGCGTGTCTGACAGCACGCCTGTGGGTTTGGAGTCTTAGAAATGGGGCGGTGCTTTACGGGGCGGGCCCTAGTGGCTACCGAGTAAGAAGAGTGAGTAAGACAGCCCGGAAAAGGCTCTGTTGCCTTTAAAGGCAAGTGTCCCTGGTAGGGCGAGAAGGCTTTGCTGAATCAGTGGCAGCTGATGCAAGGGGCTCAGGCAGGGGCTGGGGTGGGGAACCCCTAATCCGAAAGCTATTTTGCAACTCAAATCCTCCCGTACTGGAGGAAAGCATGGTCTAGAACTCCCGAGAGGGCAAGCTGGGCCACGCAGGACACTTCTCTGTGTTAATATTTTATTCTGTTTTGCACACTTGCTCCCAGCTCAGTGGGCATCCATTCCTTATCCTCTTGCGTTCCCCTCTGCCAGTGCCACCACCTATTCATCGATCTGGGGGGAATGCTGAAGGAACCCTTCCCCACCGTTTGCTGACCTCTAGAACTGGCTGTCTAGCTGCCTCCAGGACAGTGTTCTGGGTGTCCCACAGGTGTGCACACTCACCGTGCTTAAAACTGGACTCATCACTGCACCCTCTGTCCTCCAAGTACCCCAAAGATGGTACCTCCAAACTGCCCTACTCAGCTACCTGGCGGCCACCAGTCTCCTCACCCTGATTCCCCTAGTGCAGCCAATTTTGTGGCTTCTGCCTCCCTGACTTCCTCTCCACTCCTACCCTGCATCAGATAGAGCCATTTCTCAGTGATCTTCACACATGCCATGGCCTTTGTCTCTCAAAAAACGTCACTCCCTGCTTTAAGCATTTTCTCGTGACATATGACAACGTGGCTAACTCTTACAGGCATCACATGAAGGGCCGTATGCAAAAGTAATGTGCCTATAGTCACATAACATGCAAAACATTCCTGAGCTCAAAGCAGCTCCGGATAGCAGTTCTGTCTGGAAGGGAGGGGCTCCGCTGGGAGGGGGGCTGCTGGGTAATCAGGGTGAGGCAGGCAGGGAACAAATCAGCAGTCCTGGTGTTTTTCTCTTTGCCCTGAGCTTTTATATGACTCAGCATCTCACAGTAACCAATTCCATCTTTATTGAAAATTTTGATACTTTGTTATCCTGGAGTTTTCTGTTTTCATATTGGTTTTGATTTCTCATAAATATGGCATTAAGGACTGGGACCGCACCTAAGTGGTAGAGTGTCTGCCGAGCCTGGATTTGATTTCCCGGCACTAGAATAAAAAATTGCATTAATATTATTGTTTATCTTCACAACTGGGTTTTGGGGCACCCCTGCCTTGAACTTTACTTGGGAAGGAAGGAAGGGTCGTCTGGCCACACCCGATACCTGATTCTGGTGATAATGCGCTTCATGGGGATGCTGGGTACACAGGTGTGTTCCATTTGTGAAAATACTGAGCTGTGTGTGTTTCTAATTTCTGCATTTGCCAGAATGTATATCAGGCTTCTGTTCCTTTTTACTTAGAACCTTTACATGGCTTTAACGAAATGTCCCTTGCTGGTGTCTTCCAGTATCCCAAGACCCCAAACCAATGGCTGCTACACACTGGGTCTCTTAACATATTTCTGTTTTATTTGGAATCTTTTTCATTTGTTAGTTTTTCAGACAGAGTTGCATTGTGTCCAACTCATAATCCTCCTGCCTCAGCCTCCAGGTGAACCACTACCTCTTGTTTTTTTTGTAAGTTTGTTAAATGAAACAATACAATAATCCAGTTGATTTAATCTCAGGAATTCTATGAGATGAATCGTTTCCCCTCTATTTTCCAAAGGATAAAAGAAAAAAACCTCTACACAGTCAACAAATTTGCCCAAATCCTATAGGTAGTAAATATGAGTTTTTGGTATCTAGGTTTTAAAATCATGGGGCCAGCGAGATGGATAAAAGTGCTTGCTGTGCAAGGCTTTGCTGGAGTTCAAACACTAGAGCCTATTTTAAAAGCCAGAGGCTGCATCTGCAAACCCAGCACGCCCAGATGGCATGGGAGGTGGAGACAGCAGCTCCCGCTGGCAGAACAATGGCAGAAGCAAGAGAGAGACCCTGCTTCAAAAGCAAGGGGGAAGTTAGAGGGGGAGAGAGTAACAAAATTTACTATATATATATATATATATATATATATCACAGAGAGACAGACAGACAGACAGACAGACATAAAATTTAAAAAAAAAGTAAAAGGAGAGATGGGGCTGTGGAAAAGTTGCCCTTTGAC